GGGGGGGGAGGGGGGGGAGGTTGAGGAAGAAAAAGAATATCGATGGCATTCGTCTAGGGACGGAATATTTTTAGAAGGTAGAAAGCGCGCGCGGGAGCGCAGAAGCCGCCGGGAGCCGCAGGTATTCCGCACGGCCGCGCCGCGCGAGCCGATCGAGCAGGTACAAAAACCGTGTGTACTGCACCTGCCACCGCCGTGCCGGCGACGGTGGCACAGGTTATTATCCCGGCCACGAAATTTGCATTATCCCCACCGCGACCGCGCGAGGACAAAAGGATACAGTCAGCCGGCGAACTCTCTCTCCTTTTCTTCCCGACACCCTCCGTGTTCACCGTTACGTCGTTGCCGCGACGGCCGAACCCGGGAACATCACCGAGGCACTCCCGGCGAACGTTCTCTCTCGAGCGAGGCACATTTTTGATATGCGTTTCGCCGTCCTGACACGTCGGTTCCCGCCGAATGTCCGGTAGCTTTATCGGAGATTGAGTCTAACCGAAGACAAGTCGGAGGAAATCGTAACGCGCGCGCGTCTATGTGTGTGTCTAGTCTGTTACTTTCTCTAGCGTGTTATCTGGCTTCCTCGTCTTTGTCTTGTTTTGGTTTTCCATTACACGTGTCCATTTAATCCGACAGATGTAGTAGGCTGTGCGAACGAGACGCCTCATCGACGCGGGTCTCCGGTGACCATCGTGGGAACCGACGCGTTAATTGTCTCGGTTTCCCAAAGCCGCTCTTATTGTTCGGACTCGAGACGTGACCCTGCGACCATATTTGAGAGGATTAAAGATTATTTCGGGTTCGGTAGTCGGAATATTTTGGAATTGTGCACGTAAAAGCGATCTCTTTCGTGGGAATCGCGGCGCTCTCGTCGAGGAGGCCTGTTTCCACCTCGCGCCAAAATGAATCGCTTCGCGCGCGAGAACACTGTCGTCTCGAAACAATCCCCCTCCTCAATGTTCGATCCTCTCTTTCTCGCCCGGACGCGTTAACGCCCGCAAACTCTCCGTCTCTGAGAGGACTGGAAGACTATCGGCGGAGGCACATGAAGGCTTTCTATCGGCGCATTATGTCGGCGATGGTGAAGCCTTGACGCGCCGGTGCGGGTCTGGGTGGAGGTGGCGGCTGCGGTGTGGGCGCCCTCGGCGGTCTGGCGACCACCTCCTTCTCGCGTTCTCTGTTGCGCTCTCTCTCCCTGCTCTGCTCCATCTCCCGTTCCCTCTCGCGCTCGCGCTCTTGCAATTCCAGCAGCACCCTGGAGGGGCCGGGCGAGCCGAATCTTCGGCTTCGGTAGGACGTGAGGATGAGCGAGGCCGGCGGCGGCAGAGCGGCCGGTGGAGTGACCGAGTGGGAACTGCCGGCGCTTGTCACCGTGGACGGCTTCACCGCGGGCAGCAGGTCTCTTCTGATCTGCAGCTGAGGTCTCTGCGGTGGCGCCGCCGGCGGCGGGGCCGAGGGTCCCTGCGCCGGGTAACCGGAGGACGACGCCGCCGGCGGTGCGGACGCGCTGGACGTCGACGAGGAGGAGGACGACGGCCCCGGCTCGGGACAGTCCTCCTCCGGGCTGTCGTCGTCCCTCAACGCCTCCTCCAACGCCTCCGGCGGGACGTCGCCGACGGCGTGGGTCAACGCGTGCCGTCTGAGGTCGCAGTTCCTGCGGAACACCTTCCCGCACGACGTGCACTCGTAAGGCTTGTGATCCGTGTGCGTGAGGAGGTGGGTCTTCAGGTTGCTGCGCTGATTGAAACTCCTCGCGCAGACCGGACACTTGTGCGGCGACTCCTCCATGTGCAGGATCTTGTGGACGGCGAGGGTGCGGCTCTGGCAGAAACCTTTGCCGCATTCGCCGCATTTGAAGGGTTTCTCCTTGCTGTGGATGTACCTGGGGAAGTTGAAAGGACGAGATGACAACGCAGCATTTCTCTCTTTCTTTCCTCACGAACACTCGAACGCACTTTCTTTCATTTCGATCAACTTCCCGTTAATCGCAATATTTTTCACTCGTGAACGCTTGCAACGTGCATCTCACAGATACACTTTCCATTATTTCTCTCCGCTTCTCGAGACAATTTCCCTTTCGTCGGCACTTGGCTGATATACCAGGCGTTAAAATACATAAAGAACAACGAAGAGCGATTTGATAAATATTAGGTATATCTGTCGGATATTGCGACTAATGGAAGACGAATGATTAAGAATCAGGGTGAAAGCGCCGAAGGGGTAAGATACGCGTTATACCTGTGATCCCTAAGATGATCCTGTCTCCTGAACGCCTTACCGCAGATATCGCAGGAATAGGGCCTCTCGTCGGTGTGCGTTCTTTCGTGAATGAGAAGGTTGTACGATTTCGTGAATTGTCGATTACAAAATTTACAAATGAACTGCTTCTTCGGCCTGGACGCCCTGCCGGGTGTTCTGAGCAGTCTCCGATCCAGGTGCTGGTGGGCTAACGGTCCACCCGTAGGATACAGGCCGGTGCTAGTGGGAAAGGGTCCACCGAAGACGGGATAAGCGGCTGGTTCGAGAAGGGGAGGCGGTGGTAGCAGCAGTGCCCTCGCCGCCAATTCCTTCCTCTTGTCGGCCATCATCGCTATAATCTCGTAGCTCGACGAGCTCTTCCTGGCCACCGAGGACTCAGGTCCGACCTCGTGCTCCGAATTCGTCGACGACGAGGACGAGGGCGGCGGTCCGGGCAAATGAGCGTGCATTTCGCCCGGGTAAGGCGTGAGGTGCAATCTCGATGGCACCACGGGCACGAAGGCCGACGACTCGCGATGATGAGCGTGTCCGAGACCAGTCACCAAGTGACGGTGATGGTGATAGGCGGCGAGAGCGCTGGTCGGGTCGTACCCTCTCGATGTCGAGGCCGCGCCAGAGCTGGAGGACGACGTCGCTGCAGAGGAGGGCCCTGACCTTGGAGACGGTCCAAGAACCAGATCCCGACCTCTGCTCGTCTCCTCCGAGACCGTGGCCGAGGCCGACGTAACTACGATGTCGGTCGACATGCCGATTGCGCCTGAAAAAGCGAGAAAGTCGTTAAAACCACCGTCGACCGGCGCTTGTCGATTTTTCTTTCACCGAGTACTTTTGCCATTTTCAAATTGCAGTTAGTTCAGAGGCGGGGCCTTGCGGAAACACGGAAACGCACGTGTAAAATTCAATGAAAAAAATACACGAAGAGGACGTGTGCGATTGTTTGCGACGAGAAGGATACTTTAGTAACTCCGAACCGCTTGTTTGGACAATGTCGCGAGCTACTATGTTGTCCTTCGCATAAACCTTCTCACATGCACGCGGTGCAGCAGTGTGCTCGCGCATGCCGTTTCACGTCGCGATGAAAGTGATACGATTAACGAGATGGTAATGCGTCAACTTACTATTCAGGAGCGTGTCAGGTCAGACGTCACCGATCATTCTTCGTTCCTCGATTCCTCGCATCTGCACGGGTCTACAGTTTCCTCTGGTTACGTCCGGACGGCGGTCGGATGCATGTCTGAAAGATCAAGCTGTGCATATTTCGGCTCGCGACGCACAGAAGTAGAGCCCGACATTAGAAATCATCGTCGTGAAGGATTTACTGTTGGTCGCGTATCGTCCTGAAATCGACCGTATACACACCACGTCAAACATTCCTCGACGCGTTCGCACTGACAAAGCGGAAGATTGTACAACTAGTCGACACGGATCTCGCGATATCCGATCGGTTATCGGCGTAAGCACAGCTAAGCCCACCGAACGCGAGCTTTCGTAATCGCGTCGGGCGGGCGGACGGCGTTCGCACAAGGAGGTGTATTCTCTATATCGATCACTCGTCTCGTGCGCGCTTTACCTCGGCGAAATCGCGCGTGCATTGTTTTACCTTACGCAGGTGCGCCCGTGCTTTTCGACGACGGGGGACGCGGACGGTAATTTGAATGATAATTCAATCGTAACGCGCTCATTCCGGCCTACCGCACGGCACTGTATCGCTCGGCCGCGTGCGTTTTACGAACGTGAACTGGTTATCTCTCGGGCCGTGCACACCTGCCAACATGGCTTCCGCGGACCCAGCGGTCACGGCTAGTCCCAGCAGCCATGTTGGAATCACGAATATCCATAGGGACGCAACGAGACGGACACACGATCGCTCCGCGACTTCCTCCCGCGGGCTTCCTCGTAAATCTCTCCCCGAGTATGCTCTCATTCTCTCTCTCTCTCGCGTTCTCACCTGGCTCTCACGCGAACGGAGAAGCCTTCCTCGCAGGTCTTCCTTTCAGTTTCCTCGAACGAGCCACCGTCGCATCTCCTTCGGCCGAAAAATCACTCGTCGGCCGACGATCCGAGGATCAACGGCAGCATCCGCGGTATCTCCGAGCCACACTCACTACGACGACGAGGACCCCGAGAGGTCCCCTCGCGCCACCTCCTCCTCACCGTTCTCCTGTGCAGGTAAACACACGTTTACACGTACACAGCAGCAGCACGCGGCGAACGAAGGTATTCCTCGGTCGTTCACGCACTTCCGAACTCGAGCCTCTCTCTCTCTCTCTCTCTTTCAGCCGGTGAACCGCGAAAGGAGCGTCGACGCGCGCACGACTACGCGCTCCGATCAGCCAAGGTCGGTCCCCCAGAAGTCGATTCAGCTCCCGAACAGCTCCCGACACCGGAGGAACCGGAGCATCCGGAATATCTCTCGCGACACGCTCTTTCCACGGGAGGGCACGAAGAGGCGCGCGGGTTACTGCGTATCGGACGCCAGGTAAGCTTCCTCGGCTCACACCCACGCGCAGACCGAGCTCACGGACGGCTCACACGCACGGGCGAGCCGGCGCACACGTATGCACCGGGGCGACTCGCCTGGGAGTCTTTCCGTTCGGCTGCCGCTAGTAGCGCTGCTGCTGGATGCTGTGCCGTGACTGCCTCGCTCTAGCTCACCTGAGCGCACCTTTGGTGCGACAGAGGTGAGTTCCGGCCGGCTCGCAGCCGCCAGAACGAGACCGACAGGTAGTCCGCGAGAGAGAGAGAGAGAGAGAGAGCTGAGAGTAGGCGCGGGAGGGCGCGGAGGCTCGCCGGTATCCTATCTACCAGTGACTATGAGGCGATGCCGCGCAGGTTGAACGCAGGAGGTTCAGGTAGGGACGTGGTATGAGGAGCAGGTGCGTAATCGCGAACCCGAGTACCCTCCCCCTCTTTCAGCGTCTGGTAGAGAAGCGGCGGTCTGCTACCGTGAAATTTTCTCACCGTGTGTGCAGCAGACTCCGGACGCTCGATCGCGCACCCGACGTGTGTGACGTCGGGGAGCGCTCGTCGCGTCCAAGACCGCTCTTTTCCGACGGCGGCTCCGACGATCTCTCTCGATAAACTCGCGTCAATTCGCGAGCTAGTTTCCACGGGAACTTACCCGTCGTGCACCACTCGCGCGCGAAACGTCGAAACTGCGACACGCGATATCGCCGATACCGGGCCGTCGGAGGATGAGCGCTTCCGTTTGCGCGACGAGCGAGGAGAGAGAAACGCGTTCGTCGTCGCGGTCCGCGCTACCAGGGCGGGATGAAAAAATCGTGAGGCAGGTTGTTGTAAACGCACCTGTAAGAAACCCGCGCCACGCCGGCACTGACGAAGGAGATCGGCTGTTGGTGGGCGGAAAGGGGAGTGTGGTCCATGCACCCCGCCGCCAGCCAGAGGCACTCCGAGAGATCGAGTCTCGCTCTCTGTCCTTCTCTCTCTTTTTCTCTCTTTCTCTCTCTCTCTCTCCTCCTCCTCCCGTCCTCCTCGATCTCTCCTTCGGCCACGTTCTGCTTCTCTCTCTCCCTCTCGCTCGCTCGCTCACTCGTGTTACCGCGTCTCTCTTCCACCTTCGGCTTCTTCGTCCCTTCGATACTCCCCGCCGTCACCGCGTACCCTTCACCCCGCGCGCGTTCCCACTGTCCTTCGGCGTTTCCTTTTTTTTTTCTTTCCGTCTCTTTCTACTGGCAGCAGCCGCCGCCGACGCCCAGCCGGTTTTACACCGGCAAATCGATTCAACCTTACGTACGTCTCGCTGGAGCGAGCGCGGTTCTAGTTCACGGATTCCGGAATTTGCTCCAGTTGGATAGAACAAGCGGCACGATTGTTCGTCGTGGATGAGTCGTCCGATTGATCCGCGAGAGAGTCCATCTGTCTATCCGTTTCTCTCTCTCTCTCCCCCTCTCACTCTATCTATCTATCTCTCTCGTCGCCGCTGAATGGCCTTTTTCCGCCGTTTATCCGGCGATTTTTGCTCACGTTGAGTAATGGAGCTTAGATGCAGGCGGAGAAACGACCGCTTACAGCGCGATCGGTTTCCCATTTAGTTCAGCGTGGCTATTACTTCGTTTTTGTCAGGCGGGATGGCCGCTCGGGATGTTGCACGCGCGATGTTGCAGACACTTTTCGTGGCGGCCTTCCCGTAGCCAAGCACGAGAGCGTGTTCCCGTTTTATCCACGATGGTTTCCCATGCTACGATAATTGGGAAATCTCAATGAGATCGCGTCGATCGTCAAACACCCGACAACACGTTACGCATTTCCCATTAGCGTGAAATAATTCTGCACGGAATCAATTGTTATTTGGAAATATCGTTCGAGAGATACGTGGCGGTGAGATTTGCGCGAGGGATAAAAATTGCAACGTTAATCGTAGCGGCGAAAGCGTTCACGCGATGAATTCAAAAGGCGAATTTGATCCATCGATCGACCGACCCCCGTAGCATGGATATCAGATCGAATTTCTCGAGTAATACCGCCGTCAGCTGGCTCTGACCAAGAAGTAATCGGCTAAAAATGTTTCCTTGTAATCCTCTTGCTCTTTCGGACACACTCTCCGTGGAGATAAACGCCTCATCTGCGCGCGGAACGCTCGTGACGATACAAAATGTAATATCGTATTTCACTCGTGGCAGGTACCGATAAAACAAGGGCCAAAGTTTGTTATCGAGATACCTGGCGATGCGTGAAATTTTCTTTTAAGCTTTACCTTTGTTTTAGCGGCGAGCGGGCGCATCGGTGCGAATCGTAACGCTTCAACTTGCTCGGTAATGCTTTGCGAAACGCGCTCTATCGAGTCAATCACCAAATAATTAATTAATTAATTAATTAATTAAAGTTTCAAGTGTAATCCACACGGGGGTAGCGTCGTTTACATTTTATCGCTTCGCTCTCGAAACCCGGTGGGATACGGGCAGCAGCTACCGCTTCTCGGCAACTTCTCCCCGTACCGCACATCGAAATCGATATAAAAATCCGGCGAGCGCGCGAGAAGTTGCGTGCCGCAATTCCGAACACGTGTGTGCGCGCGGCAACGCTCGCGCGGGGATAAAAGGCCAGCGAACGAAAGTACTATCCGCCAGCAATTGCTGAACATGTCTCCGTAATTGCATATCGATTTTTTATCACGCGGCTGCAAGCCGTGATATCCGTGTCGGTGTAAAACCCGGGTGAACGGCATCACCTCTCCATCGGTATTTTTGCCTCGCTTATCGAGGCGTCCACCGGAGGCGGTTTGAACGCCTCGATGCGTGTGATTGTGTAGGAATAAATCGGAGACCGTTGGGCGCTTAAAGGCGAGTGACGTTCGCGTTTCTGCGAGCCTTTTGTATCGGCGACGCGCCGAAAATCACTCTTCGGGCGGGAGCCATTCGGCCCGGGAAAGGGTCGCCGCTAAAGAGCTCGTGAGCGTCGTAAAATTCGAAACGGCGCACACGTCGCACGCGGGAGGAGCGCGCGACAGAGCATGCAAATTAACAGCGCGCATTTCTATGCTCGTCAGAGCTCTTGAAACCGCGTAACCGCACGGAGAGTCGGCGCTAGAAAGCCGGGCGCGATTCTCGAACGATCACTTCGCGAAATTCACTCCGCGAGTCGGCTCACCGAGAGCGAGTGAACGTGAAAGGGGACAACAAAGAGACGGAGGAACGTTGACGAATCGACCGGCGAAATCGCGCGCGAGCGCGGTAACGGTACGCGTCATTTCTCTCTCTCTCTCTCTCTCTTTCTCTTTTCCTAAAAGGTCGAGACGCCACCAAGTACAAGGCCAACCTCCGACTATCTTCCCGCGTGGGAAAAAATCGCGCCTTGAATGGACGAATACGTGTGTTCGTATTTGCATAGCGCGTCGTATCCCCGTTGTAGCGGAATGCAGCGTGTGAATGGCAGCGGGCGCGTCATTGTTTTCGAGGCTCCGATCGATCGTACCGATCGCGTCTCTCTCTCTCTCTCTTTCTCTCGGAGGCCTCTTCGACAAGCGCGTTGCAACGCGCTAATTAACGGAAACGCAGCCGGCCCGATCAAGACGTCAGCCGGCGGGAGACAATAGCGCGCTCTGGACCACGTCGGTCGAAAATATTCACGCGGCTCCGGTCCGCCAGTCTATCCGATCTCTCAATCATGAATGCCCGTCGAATGTTGGACAACCGTGTGCAAGTTGAAAAAAAAAACGGCAAGGCGTAACGCCCATACGGTAGACGTACGCGCGTGCCTTTAACTTTTCCGACGCGAGCGTAAAACCGCCGCGACCGGCGGTATCCAGCGCGTGTCTCCAGAGTTCTTTCACCGCGGCTCGTTAAACCTCGCTCGGAGGTAGCCTAATACAAAATTAAAAGAGCTCTTTATACGTATGGGAAATCAGGGTTGAAGCTCTCTTCTCTCTCTCTCTCTTTCTCCCTTCGTCCGCGCGAGTAGTACACAGTCGGGCCGAGGCGTTGTTACAGCGTGCAACTGCCTCTCACGTCGTTTTGTTCACTGAACTAGTTCCCTCTCCTCCTGCCTCGCCGATTCATTCCATCACTACCAAGCTCACACAATCTTAGCGGCACCACTACCAGCGCGCGGCCAGCACTCCGTCGTGCCCACAGCAACGTCATCGAGATCAGCATCGCGCCAGGGAGACTGAGCGAGAGGTGGAAGCTGTGCGAGAGAGAGAGAGACGAGGACGACGAGCGTTTAAGTGCGGATTCCACCGGACCCGTCGAATCAGCCGTGGAATTTCGGCCGGGAGGAAGCGCGCCAGCCAGCAGGTAGAAACGTCTTTCCCCTGTGCGCGCACCCCTCCCCCCGGACGGACAATTACGTCGGAGGGAGATAATTACGATGTCGCCGCGGCGCGACTTTGGCGAAAAGTTACGGTCGCGAGGCGGGAAGCACGGTGGAAACGCCGCTTTATGGGAGCGCGCGCTTATGGTACGTAGCGCGCGAAGAGACGGAGGGACGAAGAGAGAAAGCCGGGAGAGGGAAGGAGAGGAGAGAGCGAGATGCAGCGACGCGGAGAGCGCGCGGACCTCGGAGAGTACACGGAGAGAAGGAACACGGCCGCCGCATACCTACACGACGCGTAATGAGAACATACCAGCATCGTTCGGCCTGCTATCTGCTATCAAACGGATACCACCGCGGCCCAGCCGCGGACGAAGCGCGCAACGCGCCCCAAGCAAGACCCAAATTTATCGGCGCGCATCGCGGCCGCGCCGCGCGCTCTTAAAAATCTCACTCGCGATATTTCATTGCGATCATCGTAATTGAGATCTCGGCTTTTCAGCTATTCGCGGCGGTTACCGTCGGCTCTCTGCGGATGTGTTCGATCGATCGGCCCGGCCGATTGCCGCCGCCACGTCGAGTCTTAATCATAATTCCCGATGATGATTTTCGCGCGCCCGCCGAGCGGAATCGGCCGTTCAGACTGTTGTTGCCGCGCGCGCCGCTACGCATATCCGATTTCGCGACGGCGCGTCGAGCGCGGAAACGTCGCGCGGTAATCAGAACGAGATCCCGGAGGGACGTTGAGAAAAAGGACATGATTTCGCGGACGAAAAGTGAGAGAGAATTCGGGCTCCGCGATAGAACGGAGATCGGATGAAAACTCGGCGGGAAGGAATGATATATCTCTAATATAAACGACTTCATCTCTGATGTAAACGATCATTTTATGTCAAACATCATTTGGTCGAATGAAAATGTTAGTGTTTCACTAGAGTAAACCGTGTTGCTTGATAGAAAAAAAAATTATTATTTAGAGGAAATGTTATTTGGTTTTCAATGAGAAAACATTTATTTTATTATATATCAGATATTGTTCCGCCGAAACGAAAAGTTCTATATTTTTTTTCTAATATAGTGTCGTCATTCAAATGATTTATTGTTTGTGACACATTGTAATGTTTGGATGAAAATTTAATAGAAATATATTATTTGACGTAAAGAGAGAGAGAGAGAGAGAAAGATTTATTGTTTGAGAAACCAAACCAAAATCCTGTTTGTTGAATCAAACACATTTGATTCAAAACAAACATGTTCGCTGCAAAAAAGACAAATCTGTTTCAATCGAAGAAATTTTACGAAATCCAAAAAATCTTTTCCTTTGTGTGGGAACTTCCTACGAGAATCTTTCTGTTCCTGCAGCCGAATTTTCACCTGGTCCCCAGACCACGGAAAATTCCAGCGGAACTGTTCCTTTCCAAGTTTATTTTTCATAGACGTAGAACGACAGGAGGATTCGAATCGGAGCTGGTGAGAAATTCGACGCGAAATTTGGGAAAATAACGCACACACACACACACGCCATTCTAAAATTGTATTAAACCTTCTATTTTATTATCTGAGATTTTTCTTGAGCGTTTGACCAGGCTCCCTTCGATTTACACACAAGCTTTCGTTTGGAACGCGCGCGTCGTTCTCTAATAAAACCCTGGCCGACGCGCCGACCGTGAAACAATGTACTTCCTAACGACGATACTGTCGGTATGCCTTGTTCTTCGCGCCTGCATCTTCTTCCTGTTTTTCCTCTTCGCTCCCCTCTTCTCTTGTTTGCGGCGGTCGCGCTCATCGAAGACGCTATTGAATTCAGCGCCGTCGCGACGATAGCGCGCTTTGTCCTTCGTCCTCCCGACACGTCCGCCGATTCTTCCTCGCGTGCAGAATCGCCGCGCGACGCATCGTGAATCCAGGCGCCGCCGTTCCGCTGTCACTTCGCGTCAACTTATTTCCGGGATTTTTCTCGATCAGCGCGAACGAATAACACGCGACACGCTCCGATAAAAACACACGCAAAAGTGAGAACGGGTTTTGTATAATCTGTGTGCTGTATTGTCCGGGAGAAGTTAAAAAATGAAAAATTCCTCCGAATACGGTAGAGTGGTGTCCCCGAATTATCCGTACGTGTTTCAACGGCGATCTCTCATCGACCGTCGGAGTCTGCGGCGTTGAATAAAATTCGCACGGTGGGGAGAATTTGGCCGGATTGAACCTTCGGTTGAATATCTTTCGAGATGAAGGGAAAACCCGCCTAGACTGAGTCCGTGAACAAAGTTTCCACATACGGACTCTCCGTAAAATATGTACCGTACAATTCCGAGACACCCCGTATATGCTGGTAGAAGCGGGATCAGTCCGAGAACCTGATGCGCCAGTGTAGGATTATCTCTCCTCTACAACGCACGCCGTTATCCTCGCGCGAGAGAATGTAACTTTCGGCGGACACTCCTCGGTACTTCCGGTGCTTCCGTTGCGTTCGTATCTACCGCACCGATAATGCGCGCACGAGTTCGCGTGCAACCTACGGAACGCACGCAGTCGACTTCTCGCTTCTCCCGCTGTTCTCGCGGCTGAATCTCCCTTATACAAATATTTGGCGTTCGGTTTAAGAATTAGCGACATAGTTAAATGGCAATTGCACATGCGCCGCATACACGCGCGACTATTGGCTACCGCATGCGCGTCTCGCACGAAACGTTGCTCGTCTACCCTGCCGCTCGCGCGGTTGAACGTCCGTTCGAGATGAACATCGTGCCGCTCTTCGAAGACGCCCTCCTCGGCCAGCAGAGTCGTGTGCGTGTGCAGTTTCAGCGACAAACGACTGCGATTTGCTCGCGAATAATAAGATCGCGTTGTGATACCGGAAAGTAATGCCCGATCTCGCATTGTTACTCGTTGATTCGCACAACGACTTCTCGAATTGGCGGGACGCCGACGATGAGGTGTGCGATGAGCGCATGAGGGATGGGGCTGAGTGGGTGGAGTACTTGAGCAGGCGCGTTGCAAGATCCGATCGCGAAATCGAGAGCGACGCGACCTCGGCGAATTCGGAGCTCGAGACGGAAATCCCCGCCGTCGAGAAGCGAACTCACCGGAACTGTGCTAACCGGTTTCAATGACTCTGCTCGATGGAGAATCGCGTTACTGCTGACAAACAATTCCGACGTCACGGCGACGACGACGACGACGTGGCTCGCACGAGAGTGGGGCGAAAGTTAGCAGCGTTTTCAGCGTTGACGTTTATTTGAACAACTTTTACTCAGCGTCACTGTTAATCAGCAGCTACAATGATGATCATGACGGTGAGACTCAATAATGTCGTTGAAATGATAATGCTTTGGCGACATCCACGAGCGGGTTGCGATCGTCCGGGTAAAGACGATTATCCGATTATCGTCGCGCGGACGGCTCGCGCGACGCGCGCTTTAGGAACCGGAAACGGGTACGGACGAGGATTTCCTTGGACGATCTTCGCTACTGCGACTCGTTGGATTCATCGTAGGGCGGATTGTTTCGCATCAACCTATCTTTATCCATCGATCGATCGAGTATTCGAGCGCGGCCAGCCACCTGGAACGACGGGGAGAGGATGAGCGTCGAATTTCGATTAGTCAAGTTCACGGAATCAGGCGTTTCCGCTACTATCGTTGTTATTCACCGTTTCTTATCCATCTCCGACTCGGTAGCGAAGATGTAGCTCCTCTGCGTGGGATCCGGCGGTTGCAACTCGAAAGCGTGCTTCCTGCCGCCGGAACTGGGCGCACTGCTGTGCACCCTGAAGCCGTGCAGACACGCCACGCCGAATGCCTTCTCGGCGTTGGCGTCATCGTAGAAGTACAGCGCGGCGTCCTTCAGCACGCAATACCGCCGGGACCAACCGGTGGGTGAGGAAGTTTTCCGCGCGTGTTCCTGCTGTTTACTCAGATACCCGAAACAATCCGGCCTCTGAATAGCGCACGCAGCCATCTCCCTCATTCTCATCGAGGCGTCCAGCCAGGTGTCGATCTGAGGAGATATCAGACGCGTCGCGTAAATCTCGGAGAGAGCACGCGGAAAGATGATTTGCCGGCATGGCAAATTTTACGCTCTCGTGACTAACAAAATCTGTTAGTTACTATATGGATAGCGAAACGCTCGCTGGATCGTTTTTCTATAAGAACAAATTAGCGAATGTAGGAAAACGCTACTTTTGTTCTAACAGCAAATCCACTGAACGGAATATTTTCTATCCTGGCAACAAAGCTGTTTCTGCTCTAATTACGAATAATTCGCGAAATGGTTGTATGAATTAAATTCGATTGCTGTTGCAACAATGGTTTCGCTATAAAATTACTTTTCTTTGTGAACTATCAGCCGAGGAGAGACGAAATATCAAAGTCGATAAAGAGAACAGTCGGTCGGGGACGTCCGCTTTACGCGGCGGTATATTTTTAAGGAACAGCGATATTTCATTTGAGGATTAAAGTAACACGTGGAAAAACGGCCGAAAGAGCAGTCGCGTATCGATTCGCTTCGCGTTACCTGATTGTTCCTCTCGACAGCTTCACGTATAACCGTGATCCACCGAGCCATCGCATCTTCGGTATCGGCCGCCAGTCGCAACGTCGGGGCACCTTGTTTCTTTATCGCAAAGCTATTCACCCTCAGATCGGGCGTCTGCTCCACGTCGTACTTAAGGAGCATCACCGCTCCTACCGGCTGCGAGTCCTGTCGTGATAAGTGCGCGTTAAGTAGAAATAGGCTCTCGACGTTCCTCCGCTTTAGATATTCCCAGCTATCTTTTTACACGCTTTTACATTTTAAAAGATACTTCGTTACGGCACAACTGTACCTTACTACTGTACCTTAATAACTGATACCTTACTGTACAAAAACTATAGAGGGATCCTCTCGACGAATCTATATGGAGAAAAATCATTTGCCGGCGCGGAAAATTTTATGCTGACTCAGCAAAATCTGTCAGTTATGGACTATGTGGACAGCAAAGCGATTTTTTTTTTTTAATACCGATTGCCATTCGCTGGACTATTTTACTGAATCTACACATTATTTTGCTGTAAGAATAAATTAGTAAATGTAGCAAAACACTATCTTGCTCTAACAGCAAATTAATGTGTCCTGAGAACGAATTCACTCAGCAGAGTATTTTCTATCCTGGCAACAAAACTGTTTCTGCTATAATTATAAATAATTCGCTGATTTGTCATATCAACCGAATTTTACCGCCGCACGGAGAAAACAAGTTTTGTTAGAATAGTAAATTGTTAATATAGTGACAGCAAAAAAGTTACACGGAGAAAATAATTTTGCTGTTCTAATAATAAGACAGTTGCGACAGCAAGAAAATATATTCGGCATAACCAAATTGTCTTGCTGTCCATATATCCAGCAAATAGCAATTAATACTTTTAACAAATCTGTCTGTTGTCCAAGCAAATTTTGTTTGCTGTCACTATATTAACAAACAATTTGCTGTTGCAAATTTGTTTTCTCTGTGTGTTGCAAAGAATATGCGGCAGCAACGATGGTTTCGCTCACAACAACAAAATTATTTTTCTTCACAAGCACACACGGAGAAAACAGATTTTGCTAGAACAGCAAATGTTTGTCAATATAATGACGGCAAAAAATTTGTTTGGACAGCAGAAAGATTTGTTAAGAGTATTAATTGCTACTTGCTGAATATATGGACAATTAATACTCTTAACAAATCATTCGGCTGTCGAAACACATTTTTTGCTGTCTAAACAAATTTTCTTTTGCTGCCGCTGTATTGACAAACATTTGCTGTTCTAGCAAAATTTGTTTTCTCCATGCAGAGAGAAGTCATAACTTCCGCTCACCGCGTCAGTCTTATAGCAGTACAGGCAGTTGTCGCGACGAAGAGCGAACCACCTGCGGACCCACTTGTCCGCGCTGGACGTGGCGGACCTCCTCCACAGGTAACCGGAGCATAGGGGCGCCTCTTCGGCGCACTCCTTCGCCCCTGTGCGAGCGAGACGCGGCGCCAGCACGTTGCAGGTCCTCGCCACCTCCAGCTCCAGGACGTCCGTGCCGGAGTGAGCCAGTCTCACGACCTCCGAGTGCGTGGCGTCCATGACGCTTCTGCCGTTCACGGACATGATGATGTCGCCCACCTCCAGCCCGGAACTCTCCGCCGGCGTGTCCGGCTCGATCGCGGAAACCACCACGGGCTTCGAGCCGTGGATGCGGAATCCGAACTCGCCGCCGGCTTCCCGCTTCACGATCACTCTGTTGTCGCTCTCTGCGAATGCGAAGAGCACAAGCTGGAGCACGGAAGCTGAAGCTTTCTCGTGCGGCAGTTTAGCGGGGAACTTAATTAAAACCCCGAGAGTCGCTCGATGTACTGCGCATTAAAAGGAGGAGAAAAAAGATCGCGCTCGGCCAGTCGCCAATTTTTTCTCTCCTTGTTTTTCGACATTCACGAACGTCTCATCAAAGACCTCTCTATATTTACGTATTTATAAAAAGAACGCGTTCTCCCTCTTTCCCTCACGGTGATTTCATATACGCGGAGATTAAAGGTGTTCGATATGATTCCCTCTTAGTCGCATTTGATATGCAGATCCGTCCCGTCGGACGGGATTATATTTAGACGAGTAGCATTTAGTAGGCGGACAAAGGGAATCGTACGTACGTACGGCGCAGTAAATTGTTTAGCGCCTCTCGATAGTCGCGCGCCACGTGGTATCGAGCGGCGACCACGGCAACGAGAATAGTGCGACACGATTACGTCCGCGCGAGCACTATCGGGCGGGCCGATCGCTCGCTCCAGATGGGAAGAGAGGCCGAAGAGGCGGAAGAAAAACCGAGGGATCGACGTGGACGTGGTAGATCCGCGCAAAAAGACGCGAAGCGCCCTGCGTCAGCGTGCTATAAACGTAGCCGAGCGTATTTAGGGCCTCAGACCTTTTCTCTCTTCATTATTGAGGGACGGAAAGAGAGAGAGAGAGCGCGCTTGTTGTGCGCGCGAGCACTATCGAGCGGCCGCTTTTATTTTTGCGCCATTACAAGCTCATCCGTTTTAGTCCGCGCTTTGATCATGAACGTGAAAGACGCTGGAAAAAGCGCGACTTGCTGCACATACCCCTACATAGATGACGTATATCGTAATCGGCGCGCGACGTGTGGCGCGGCGGTGTATAGAANAAAGCCCCCCCCCCCCCCCTCCTCCAAGGGTTCACCGTATAACCCGTCATCTATGAACTCTTTGACCCATTTTAATTCGATTAAAAAAAAAAGCGGAATATCAGCGCGACATCGCATCGTAAATGTCGATAACGCCGTGTTCCGTCAATGAAAGAAGCCCCTTCGCTGCTTGTCGCGCGCGGAGACACGCGGGTGTGCGTGGTTGACGCTGACAGATGCGTACTAATTAAGACCGCCAAGCCGCTTCTTAACGATTCTTGGCCGACGCTCGATTGTCTACGTCTTCGTCGTATACTTTTCAGTCGCTCTCGGCCGGCGACAC